ATGGGTCTTCTCTTCATTCACGCCCACACCCACACATCCACACCCATTCACACTCACACCCACCCACACCCACCCACACCCACCCACACCCACCCACACCCACCCCAAAAAACACAGGTCAAATTCAGAGTACATGTTAATGATGTTCGACCTATTCTTATTTTAAAATCAACGTGATATATTGTTGTTTAGTTATTTGCTAATGATCATTAAATGTTAGTGTTATGCTATGTTTATGGCGGTTCGATGTTTGATTATCTTTGTTGTATCCGCACCGACTTAATTGAACTAACATCGACTCGTTATGCTTGTGAACATATTGATATTTTAATTAGCGCGCATTAACTATCAATATAATTATCATTTGCATATGGTTAGCATTAACAAATATTGGTTATTACAAATACAAACAAATTACGCACAGGAAATTTTCTCTTTCAGAAGTGTTTCTGTTTTCAACAAACAAAGTTATTTATGTTTTAACTTTACATATATTACATATTTTATTAATATACTAACGATATCTATGTATGCAATCGTGATAGGTTTGTTCCTCAGAACGAATGATAAATTATACGATTTATTTGTTTACCTTATTTATATTATTTTGTTTTTCTCTTCGCTTATTTTATATCAATTTGTTTAATCTTCTTTTCTTTAGTCATTATAATGTCAGATAAATTTGTTCCATATCATTTACGTGATATTAACAATCATCCAGCTCATCTTGATAACAATCAAAAATCGAATTGGATACGTGCTGCAAAAAAGGCGAAGAAAAATTTTCAATATCAACAACAATATCCAGCATTTGATATAGCAACATCACTTTATGAAATTATATATGTAAACAAATATACAACAACTGAAACAATGCAAAAATTAATTAATCATGTACGAAATTGTAATGAATTTACATTTTATACTGAAGGTGAAAAATCAACCAAACAATTAGCATTAATTCAAATTCAAACAATACCTCAACAATTACCATTTTTTGTTATATTAGTAGAACTTGCACATTTACCACCAATTAATTCATTAATTCATTTACAAATTAAACAATTATTTGAATTATTTTTTACATTTAGAAATAACATATATTCTTGGGGACCATTACGTAAGGAAATTTATCCAGCTATTGTTTATCAATGGTTTGAAGAGCCAATTAAAACATCAGTGGTTAATCTTCAACTTAAATTTGCTGATTGGTATAGTTGAGCACTATCTTATTGCGAGATGTGTAGCCTGTCAAATCGTCGTAATGTTATTGTCAATGATATTAATTCTGATGGACAAATGAATTTATTATCAAAATATACTTGTCATAAACCAAGTCCTTATCGTCCTAATGAACCATGGACATTACAACAAGCTTTAATTTATACAATTGGAATGCTTATTGACAAGTCAATTAC